ATTCGTAGGTGAATGCCGAGAACAGGCGTATAGAGGAGGAGAATCTCGTCGACGAGGCCAGGAGGAGTCGCCTTCGTGCTGAGGCTAATCGACGAGACGATGCAGCTTCAACGCTGCAGTCTTATTGGCAAGGAGTATTACAACGAGAAGATTACCAGAAAATACGTAAGGCGATGAGGAAGAAGGTGAGGGCGGCTCCTGGTCACCGCTGGAGGCTGAGTTGTTGATTCCATAGGGCAAGAAAGGTGGCAAGAAGAAGAAATAGAGTGTCTTGTCTGCACCATGGACCTAGTGTTATTCATGATGAACGAATTTGGTTGTGTTTCAAAGGGGTACGACCAGTAGCTGCAGACCCTTGATAGTAGAAAAGTAAATGAGTAAATGGATCACACGTTCAAGCTGGTGATATATGCATAATCTTGAGGCTGTGCTCACGCTGATTAATCAGTTTGATTGATGAAATTGTCACTCGTTATGAATGCACTGTTGTTGTTGATATTGAAGTCTTTTTCAATTGCCACGCGTATTAGCGCTCTAAGAAGTTTCCTCTCCGCACTCAACACAAGCTCTCTCCTCCGGTGAGTTACTTTGGTATGAAAAGACGCATTCAAATAGACATAAAGAGCCTTCTGTATCATCATCCAGAGTGATGGCTTCCCGCGCACATGGCTTTCCAGCAACAGAAGCGGCTTCCACGATGACGCCTTCGCTATTCCAACTCAGTCTCTTCCTGGTGGGAAGTGAACCTCTGAATAGCCATTGAGGTAAGGGCAGCAACGAGGCCTTCCGGAGCAGCGGCGACCTATGGCTTCACACTTCTATACCGCTTCTGACGGAACACACATTATCTACTATTATGTACCACTCCGGTTGCGAGCTCACTGTGATAGGCTGCTTTCACCCTCCCACAGCCACAGTCTTCTTTACCCCTACATAGCAGTTGTGAAGAGGACCTTCGGGCGTTCCAAAACCCATCATACTGTTCGTAGTGCGCCAAGAACTTAACAGACAGTCCATTCACCAATGAATCGTCATTCTGATTGTTAACATACACGAAACTTGTGGAGTACAAAGTGGTGCAAACACTGGCCCGCGACGGGCTCGACTGCGAAGCTAGCTACTCTGAGCTACACTCCAGCCTGTGTATTTCATTGGATGTTGTTGCTTCTGCTCCTAACGGTTATTGTGAAGCTTACTGACACTCTGCTTCATCAGTTGTCAGTTGCTGGTGAGCGTGCTGGCTCATTTCGCCCACCCTCAGCCACCCGGTAGCTTCTGATTGTCTGCATCTTGACGTCCAATCCTCAACTGTGTGATGATGGCTGTCCGATGGCCACAGATGAAGTCGGCAGGGCGGGACGAGTTGAGTTAACGAGTTTTGGGTGGGAAGCTGCGATCGGGCCTTCGTTTGCACAAATGAAAATTTTCTCTGAGAATATCTAATCCTCCAACCTATACGCTGACATACGACAAGTACAGCACTCAAGAAGCAAACGATTGAGTTGTCATCAGCTTTCGGCAAATACAGACGGTTGCTCCAAATGGTCATTAATCCCCCCTTGGCCCCGCTCTCACTGACCAACACGATGCTTGAGGCAAGTGACGAACAATAGCTGTTAGCAGAACACTCTACGTTATATTCACTGTTCATAATCTCCTCTCGGTGATGACGGTGGAGAACACACTTCGACCGGCTCAGCTTCCTCACTGGTACGTTCACTCTGGGGCTGACTGGCCACGACACCACCTCCGCCGCCGACCACCTACATGGACATATGTTGATTGTTATTCTCTATAGTACATAAATAAATGTTTCTATCTACTTGCTATACCACTATACACAATAGTGAATCTTCAGCCGATGAAAACTGAAGTTGACCACCGAACTTGACGGGAGACACTTTGAACATCTTCCGTGAATATCGAGTCAAAACCGGTACGGAATTTTATGTAGCCGATTTTGCGTTTGACGATGATTCAGTGAAAAATTCGAATATCAGAACCATTCACACAAGGCATTGGGAAGAACTCGATCAGAGCTTTCAACAACTATTCGGTTCATCAGCTGTCACACACCGCGAAATTACAAGGGATGGACCTATAGTAAATATATAACTACATAACCAATATACATATATACTAACCCGATATGACAGTAACGGTTGAATTCAATCCCTACACACACGTCTTACCAAATCCTCTTCCTCCTCCTCCTCCTCCTCCTCCTCCTGCCGTTCTGTCGACAATGGCTCCTCCTCCCCCTCCACCAACCGAGCTCGCTTCGACGGTTTAACGTTGTCCTCTTCTACAGCAGGAGATCGCTCCTGACAATCAGTTTCGGACAAAACCCGTATACCAATTTCTACTGCCTCATGGACAGCCTCCTCTTCTTTCCTCAGTCCACGACCAGGCTGATTAAGTGCGAGCTGAAACCCGAAAATGAACCAGATCGAGCCCTTGGAGATTCCCCCACCATTTTAGCTACGAGGCTCCGCATTCCTCCCCGTTGTGATATAGCACCAGGAATCTACACACATGAGCTTCCCATACCACGCCTCTCCCAAATCGCCTCACATTCCTCTTCTCCTCAGCCAAACGTATCAGCTCACACACAGCTAGCATCGCTCCATGAACCGCCGATAAATGACCAGAAATCAATACGTTACGTCGGCCATCCTAATAGCGACCATGAGCACGCGCCCTACGGGGCCGACTCACCCCTCGATCCTTTACCACTACATTAGCACCACTGGAGTCCTTCAACTCGCGAATCTAAATGATAACGTGTCGGTTGCATAAAGATACTACACCCTTACCATCGCTCCTTGACTGCCAATGATAAGGGCAGCTGCGTGGCTCGGTATGTCAGGGATAACTACTGTACTTTGTATGGACATCATCTGCATATCGGCGCGAGCCCATAATCACAGTTTCGGAGGAATATATGCTCGCTTTTCCCAGCTGACCTCAGGAGTTTCCTCACTTGTTAAAGAAGTATATATAATAACAACAATAACTCTCCAAAACTTCCTCAGAATTTTCACGTCAATCACAGTGTTGAAATATGTGTTAACTTTCCTTTTCTGACCTCAGGAGTTTTCTCACTTATTACACAAGAATACATACGAATCCAAGTGGAGAAACCAACAATAACTCTCCAGAATTTCCTCAGAATTTTCACATTGACCACGCTGCATTATCATAGATAATATCCACTTACGTTCTCGTTATCCCTCACTATCCTTGCTGCTACTGCCAGTGTTTCATCGACGGGCTTCCTCGATCGGAATTTTAAATGTTCCCGCATAGTACCTACACAGAATGTGGGAATATTTTTATCATGGTCAACTAAATTCGTCGGTGATAATATGAAATTTCTGAGGAAAATTTGGTGGATTTCCTGTTAGCTTCTGTGAACTCCTACCAGAATTTCCATAATCACTGAGGAAACTCCAGAGCCCAGCCGAGAAAAGCGAACACTGCTCATGCACCTGCGTGCAACGCTCCCTATTACGATCCTCGTCAACAGACTCCCGCTGCGTTATCCTGCCATGACGACCAGCCGACCAAGGCTCGCCACGCCCCCCTCCCCACTGCTGACTGCCACCACCAGCGCCGCCCTTGTACTCCTCTGACCAGGCATCCCATGCGTTGTTGCTACTGCCACCGCTGCTCCGACGACCACGCCAACTACTCTCCCGATTCCAAGATGACGATGGACTACGGGGAGCGTATGGGGAGGAGTAACTCTGACTACTGACAAAGAAATCATAAAAACGACCTCAAGGACCGTCATCACCGTACTAAGGAGCTGCATGGACACCTCCACTATATACGCCCCTCGGGGTCGATGGAGCCCCTCGGGAGCCTTCGCCCTTCCCAGACCTATACGGAGCCCCCTCCCGCTGTTGGCCTGATGCCTCATAATTCACACATTGATTGTAGCTGAACGGCCCGCTATCTGAGCCAACGATAAAATGACCAGTGAAGAAAACTTAGTACCATAATGTGCATGCACCATCGCATGCACAGCTTCCATAGCCGCCTCTGCTACTTTCTCTTGATTGCTCAGTCTAGTGTCTGTAAGGAGTCAATAAAGAAGTTAATAATGAATAGTAGACTTACTCAGCGGCATTCGCTCTTTCCACAGAGCGCATTTAGCCACACTCTCATCGGTGGCAAAAGCACAGCGGTACTCCTGATCCGTAAACACCTAAGACACCGTCACTGCGCCACAAAATTCCCTCCATTGCTACTACTACTCACTTCTATTTTAGTATCATAACGATCATTAATATCGCGAACTCTAGCTCCCTTTGTTCCTATTATAGCCGGCACGCACCGTTGGGGGACCACGAACTGAGCAGCAGTAGCAAGCACTCCCCATTGAGCAATTGAATATTAATCATCGGTCAGTCGCTGCTTTCTCTTCGATCGCCTATCACTACATAAACTTGTG